TATCGTAGTAAATATTGTCATATTTGAGTTTTTTCTTTTAGACTTCCTCTCAAGTCTTTAAAACGTGTTTGTTAGGAAAAAGTTTCCACACCTTATAAAGAATGCTTCGTTCTTATCTCCAACAGATTGTGGGATCTCAAACCCTGTTCGAGGCCTAGCATCTTCGTTGGCACACCGTCCAATGTCAACCCCCTTGAAGGATTAGTGTCCTCGCTGGCACATCGCCAGGTGTTTGGCTCTAATACAATAGCGCTAGATTATGAGATCCCACATTAATAGGAGAGATGAACGAAATATTCCTTACAAAAATATGCAAATCTCTCCCTATCAAACACGTTTCAAAATCGTGAGGGTGACAACAATTTGTAACATGAGGGAACAATATTTACTAGTGGTGAGCTTGAGCTGTTACCAATGATATTAGAGCCAGACACCGAGCGATGTGCCAGTGAGGAGGCTGAGCCTCAAAGGGGGTGGATTGGAGGGTCCCACATCGATTGGAGGAGGGAATGAGTGCCAGCGAGGACGCTGGCCCCAAGAGGGGTGGATGTGAGATCTCACATCGGTTGGATAAGAGAATGAAACATTCTTTATAGAGGTGTGGAAAATAGGGGTGTACATTCAACCCGATAACCCGACAACCCGGACCAACTCAACCCGAACTACAAGGGTTGGGTTGGGTTCATTTTTCTGAACCCGAACTGAATCAGTTCGGTTTCGGGTTCGTGGGTAAAACTCTCAGGTTGGCCCGAGAAAAATTTAAATATATAAAATATATTAAGAAATTTTACTTATAATAGATTTGTCAGAGTGATACTTTGGCTGGTCGAAGAAGACTCACGCTTGAGTTTGAATCCGGGCTAATGATTTTAAATACCTTATTAACCATATATTTTTAAAAATACATTACTAACAAACAATTATATGTTCATAAATTATATATATATAAATACATATTTTTTTTCTTCTTTTATATATATATATTTTTTAAAAATACATTACTAACGAACAATTATATGTTCATAAATTATATATATTATAAGGATTAAATATGGACCATAAATTATATATATACAAATATTTAAAAATACCTTACTAACAAATAGTTATAGGTTCATAAATTATATATATTATCAAGATTAAAGATAAACAAGTAATGGTAAATTTTAGTTTAAATATATTTAAAGAATTTTATACATTACTAGTTCATTGTTCATATTATATTGATAAATAATTTTAAATTTTAGTTTAAATATATTTAAAGATAAACCAATAATTTTATATTTAATGTTCACACATTTTGTTCTAATATATTTATTTTCTATTTATTGGAATGTTGTTATATTTCTAAATTTTAATTTAAATATATTTAAAAATAAATAAGTAATTCTAAATTCAAATGTATTTGTTTTCTATTTGTAGTAATATTATTATATCATAATTTATATTTATATATATTATTTTTCTAATAGTTTAGGGCTATTTATTCTTCTCAAATCATGTATAAGTAAACATATTTCAACTAAAAATATTTTTATATGTTTTTTTGGTATATACATTATATTTAAACTAATAATTTTTATTGTTTATTTAATTTCATGATATATCCTCATATTTTTTCTATTTTTACCCATTTTTCTATTTTTACCCATTTTCAAGAAATGTCCGGCTTTCTTTAGTTTTATGACATGTTGAACTATGTTAATATGTCACAATTTTCACTCGAACTATGTTATTATATTACAATTTTTACTCGAACTAAGTTAATATGTTACAATTTTCGTTCGTTGTTTTTTATTAAATTTATTTTTTTAAAAATAATTATGGATTGATTTGTGTTTGTTGGTAAATTTTTAATATATTTTATATCAGATTGTATCACAATAATTATAAATTGTGGATAAATAAAACTTAAAAAAAAAATTAACAACCCAACCCGAACTCAACTCGAAAATAGAGGGTTGGGTTGGGTCGGGTTGTGAAAAGTTTCGGGTTGAGTTGGGTTACCAATCCAACCAACCCGAACTCTTGGGTTGGGTCAAAAAAATCGCTCAACCCAACCCAATCCGGACCATGTACACCCCTAGTGGAAAACTCTCCACACTGAACATGGTTTAAAAACTTTGAGAGAAAGGCCATATAGCAGTGGGCTTGGACCGTTACATAAACATAGCCAAGTATGATCAAGAGTATGAAAATGTCAAAGAAAGTGTCATTATTGTACTGTTTCATGGGTATAAAGGTGCCTTATTTTCAATAATTGGTACCCAACAACCTCGATCGTTGATTCATGTACGCAACACAATGTTATTCGGGATCGATCTGCAGTGTAACTTAACTGTGAGATCCCACATCATAGTAGACGCGTTTTAAATCATAGGAATGACCATAGATAATGAATCAAAGCATAGTAAACTAAAGTTGGTACAAAAGTTTCTAAACGTACCGGACGAATTGTAGAATCATTTAAAAATAGAACTAACGGTAGAATTTTAATATTCTTTGAGAACATATTTTATTTTTAAGAACAAAAATTTAGTGCAAAAAAAACGGGGAGGATTACTTTTTCCTTACTCTAAAACAATCTAGAATCACTTGAAAGAAGTGATGGAAGATACTTCCCAATCCACAAGCTTTGGATTAAAAGGTTCCTTGAAACTTTTTTCTTTTTTTGTCTATTTAATTTAGAAAAATGTTTAATAAGATCGAATATTTAATAAATTAAAATTTGATTTTACTTTTAATAAATTTAAAAAAATTCGAAAGTTAAAAGAATCAATCCAGCTCAAACAAATGTTATAAAAATAATAATGAATCTGATGAGCTAATATATATATATATATATATTTATTTATTTATTTATTTTATTATTTTTTTTAAAAAAAGAAAAATTACAACGTCAAACAAGTTTGAACTGGTTGAGCCTAACTCCAAAATAGCATTCAATAGCCCCTCAAGTCTAAACTCGTACCCCACAGCAGACCCACCATATTCTGACCTTACATTTCAACCCAATTTTCAAAGGCATCCCCTAAAATTCTCTCTTTTTTTTTTTTTTTATTGTCCCCTCCCCTTTTGGTTGAAATTGATGGGGGATAATAAATAAAGAATCCACCCATATTTTATGGTTTTATTATTATTCACAAACATAATAAAATTTTAAAAATAATATTTAACACGCTTGCCGACACCTCATATACTATATATTTAATGTTGTTTCGTAAACTTCGAAAATATTTTTTAACCGTGTTACATAAAGGTATTTTTTATGTTTTTTTTTTTTTTTAAGTTTAGGGTGTTTTTTGAAACTGGTATTTTTTTAAATAATTTCCAAAATTAAAAGATACTTTTTCAAACTATTTTGAAAGTGGACCAAACATGTTTTTGTAAATTATGAATGTATTTTTTAATTTTTTTTAAATTTAAGATTATTACTGAAATTTTTAAAAATTTAGAATAATTTAGAAATATTTTTTAAATAAAGGAGAAAGTTTAGGAATACTTAAATGGTTTAATTACATATTTTTATTATCCCGTGACAAGAAGAATTAGGTTATGGGCAAAAAGATGGGAGCATTATGAAATGAACTCAATTATTTATCTTGAAAAATTTGTCAATTTACGAATTACTTATATAATTTTAAATTTATTTCGTACATGCAATATAATTTTATATTCATTAAAATAAAAAAAATAAAAAAAAAATCTCCCGACCACGTTCTTAATTTCTCTTACGTCTGGGCCACTGACTTGACTACTGTCTTATCTTAATTAGAAACGCTTAGAGATGGGAACTGTGGCACCAACCACCGGCGACAAGAAAGCGTTACGATTTTCCGGATATTTTGCTCGGAATTATTGTTTTTCGGTGATCGGAAAACCGGCCTGTAATTTCGAAACCGGGAAGGAAGAAAGGGATTACCACTGTTCCGTTAGAGTTACCAGTGTCTCTTATCCATTTGCTCTGATTCCCATTTCTCGGCGTTGAATGAATAATTATTTTAGGAATATAAAAAATGTAGGACCCACCATTTGTCTAATAAATTTTTTATATTTTTTTTATTCTATTCCTTATTCGGTTAACAAATTCTTTTATTTATTATTTTTTTAATATATATACCAATTGCCTCTCTGAATCTTTCTCAACTTGTTTCTATTATTTTGATTTTAGGTTCTCACTCAATCACTTTATAATAATAGTACTATCATTTAAAATAAAAAATAAATAAAAGAATAATATCCTTTTAATTTATTTTTTAAAAATAAAATAATGATATTAAGGCAACCAAAGATAAACACTCTTCAATATAGTATAATATTTATCTATTTTGAGGTGACTTTACTTTTAATTTCATACAAATCGTCTCGAGTCATAACAATTAACTTAGACTCGATTCCATACAAATTTTATTTGATTTATTTTTTTCTCTTTTTAAATCCAATTCTTAATGCTCTCTTAAGTTTATAACAAAGTTTTTTAAAAAAAAAAAAAAAAAAAGAAAAAAAGTAGACTACAAATTAGCATAAAAATTTGTCAACGCTCCCTAAAATTTGTGCCCTACTTTCTCGGGTCGTGTCACTATTTAGAAGATAAAGAGTGCGACTGTTTGGTTGGTAACTATATGCTATCTTATCATAGTTTCACATTTTATCCATGATATAACGTGTTTGATTCTTGTCCACAATATTAACAAATTCTTATTTAATAAGATTGGCTTGAATTTAATTAATATACTAAAAATCTAGTTTAACTAATTATAAGTAACAATTGATTAGTAATAGTCAACCAATTATCATTAATTTTAATTAAAAATTACATTAAAAAAACTAAGTTTAATAAATTCTCATGAATTAAATTAAATTAAATTAAACATAATTACTTTTAAAAAAATCAGTGGAAATAAATGAATAATTATGTTAATCTTTATTTTATTGATTTAAAAATATAACTTTTGGAAGGGTATCAAATAAAGGGAACTAAATATCCTTTTGAAAACGGTTTTATATTTCCTCTCCCTGCCAAACCTCATTCTCCCCATCCAAACGAGCCCTTGAGAGTAAGAGAAAAAGAGAGAAATGGGAGCGAAAACGCCGATCTCTGTAGATACAATGGCGAAGGAGAAAGAGAACGGTGACGGTCAAGTTCAGGTGACGGTGGACCTCGATGCCGGAGCTCTGTTTGTACTTAAATCCCGAGGTTAGAGTTTGTTTTTTCTGTTCAATTTTTGTTTTTCGGTGATCGGAAAACTTGCCGGAATTTGAGAATCCATATTTTACGGGGACGGTACGGTCACTATTGGCCTCAACATCGGCGACTTTTCTTCCGTTCTCTGTTACCTCAAAGACTTTTATTATCAATTTTTTCTTGAAAAGAAATCTTGTCTGTAAGATAATAACTTTTAAAATAATATTATTTTAAATGTTTTAATTTTCTAACCGTGTATTTTATTGACTAATGGATTAATGAATTAATTAATATTCTACCATGGTTGAGATCGACAATTCTTAATATATTAGTCAATTAAATGAAGTTAAATTCAATAATAATTAGTAAGTATATTAATTAGCGTGACATGTCACCAATAGTTAAAGTAGAGGATTAAAAGTCGTTAATTTCATGTAATTTTTATGCATTGCGGTTCAATATTAAAAAAAAAAGAATATATATATATATATATATATATATATATATATATATATATATATCTTTTTCTTTTTTCATGAGAAATTAAAAATGAGTAATTATTAATAATTTGATGATATGTTACTGTTTGGTGATATGGATGATAGGATCATGGTGGCATTGTGGGTACCACTTGACGACATCCATAGTGGCACCATCGCTGCTAAGCCTTCCCTTTGCGTTCAAGATGCTAGGTTGGGTTGGCGGAAGTGTAGGCCTTGCTTTTTGTGGTTTAGTCACTTTCTATGCCTACCATCTCCTATCGCTCGTTTTAGAGCACCACGCTATGAATGGTTCTCGTTTACTTAGGTTTCGGGATATGGCTACTAATATTCTTGGTAACGTCCTTTTCTTTTTGTTAACTAAACAACAAATCTTTAACAAATTATACGTTTTTTTTTTAGGTTTGAAGGTTCAATGACTAATATCTCTAATAATTGTACTAAAAATACGTACAAGAGTTAGTGATTATAATTTGACATCGATATCATTTTGGTCCCTCTAGTTTCAAGTTTTGTTCATTTTAATCCATATGTTTTATTGACATCGTTAATTTTGATCTCTATATATTTTTAAAAATGATTATTTTAATTCGTCTTAAAATTTTTAAATAATAAAAATTATCATGTTTATGGGAACAAAAATAAACATCGTAAAAATATATAAATTTAAAATTTTATTTTTATTATAAAAATCCGAAAGACTTTGACTTTTATTTTTTTATTTATTTTTTTTTTTTTTGTGGATTATGAAATATGCAATGACCCACTTCAAAACTATTTTTTTGTTTTATATTCTTTAGATTTTCACCTTTAATAAATAAACAAAAATTTAAAAACTAAATTTTTTAGTTTTCAAAATTTGACTTTTAAGGATAGAGAATCAAAGTAAAAAAATTAAGTAGTGTTAATAAATTTAATTTTAAAAAAGTAATTGATTATTAAATGATGGGTAATTAATCAAAGTAGTACACATAATTATTATTTCATAAAAAGATTAATTACTGAAGAAAATAATAATAATTCATTGTTACTGTGAGATGGCAGGACCCAAATGGGGCACTTTCTATGTGGGCCCAATCCAATTTGGGGTGTGTTATGGTTCTGTTGTTGCTGGAATTCTTATTGGCGGTCAAAACATGAAGGTGATATTTTACCATTATATTATTACCAAAAGATTAATTTGTCTGAGTTATTAATTCAGTAAAAATATAATCTTTTTAATTATTAATTATTAATTATTTTTTTTGGCAGTATATTTATGTGCTCTCAAATCCAGAAGGGACAATGAAATTATACCAATTTATAATAATATTTGGATCATTAATTCTGATTTTGGCTCAAATTCCATCTTTCCATTCTCTAAGGCATATCAACCTTCTCTCCCTCACTCTCTCCCTTGCTTACAGTGCCTGTGTGACAGTTGCTTCTTTAATACTAGGTAAAGAAGGTTATATATGTACTTTCACACTAATTTCCTTCTTAGTCTGTGAAATTACCCTTTAATCCTTCCCATCCACAGGTTATTCCAAGAATGCACCTCCCAAAGACTACTCCGTTCAAGGGTCCGCAGTCGGACAGCTATTTAATGCCTTCAATGGCATTTCAGTCATTGCAACTTCTTACGCATGTGGAATGGTTCCCGAAATACAGGTACAAATTTGAAATTTGTCTATAGAAAATTGTAATTTGAAATTTGTCCCTACATACAGAGTTCTATGAATAATGTTGTAAATTTTATCTTAAATATGGAGAGAAACGAAACAGTGGCAACAAAATTTTACTGGCGGTGAGTTTGGGTTGTTACAAAATAGTATTAGAGCCAGACATCGAACGATGTGGCAACAAAAATGCTGAGCCCTGAAGGGAGTAGACACGAGATGGGGTACTAGCAAAGACCCCGAAAGGGAGTGGATTGAAGATCTTATATTGATTAGAGAAGGGAACGAGTGTCAACGAAGACGCTAGCCCCAAATGGAGTGAATTGTAAGATTTCACGTCAGTTGGGAAGGAGAACGTTAATTCTTCATCTTATTTTAATGATATATTTTTTACTAGTTTAAAATTAAAATTAAAATTAAAACTAAAACTTATGGGAAATTTATTGACGAATTTTTGCAGGCAACTTTAGTAGCTCCCGTGAAAGGCAAGATGTTCAAAGGGCTATGTCTTTGTTACGCAGTGATAGCAGCCACCTTTCTGAGCGTAGGCATTTCAGGGTATTGGGCCTTCGGAAATGAGGCCAAGGGAACAGTTCTTACTAATTTCATGGGCCAAAATCAGTTACCCTCTTGGCTTCTCATCATGACCAATGCCTTCTGCCTCTTGCAAGTCTCAGCCGTCACCGGCGTAAGATCCCATCCATTCTAACTCCCAAAATTTTAAATCCAATGAAATCATAAACTTTAAATAAAAAATTCGAGCTCGAACACATGACGTATTAATTGTATTTGATCGTTTATTTGTGTAGGTTTACTTACAACCCACGAACGAATTATTCGAGAAGAAATTAGCAGACCCAACTAAAAAACAATTTTCGACCCGTAACATTGTGCCGAGGTTGATATCACGGTCGTTAACAGTGATCATTGCCACCATATTTTCATCCATGTTGCCTTTCTTTGGGGATCTAATGGGACTAATTGGAGCACTAGGGTTCATTCCTCTCGACTTCATCATGCCGATGGTTTTCTACAATGCGACTTTCAAGCCTTCGAAGAGAACCTTTATTTTTTGGATAAACAGTGTGATTGTGGCGATTTCATCAGTACTTGCTGCAATTGGAGGCGTTGCAGCCATTCGACAAATCATTTTGGATGCTAAAGAATATCGTTTATTTGCTAACGTGTGACCTAAATATCACTGGTAGTCACTTATAGCAAATGTTATTAAAAAAATAAGTGTACGTTGTCATGTTTTAATATAATATCGCTTTTTAAAATTGAGTTTTTAATTCAATTAAGTGTGAAAGATACTATTGCTATTGCTATGGACAACCGTGCTTATTTACCTATGGAAGAATTGATGAAATTTGTAATGAAAATTATGTCTCATGAGTGTTGTGTTGTTGACACTATTAATTGTGGCTAAGTGAATCCGTTCAAAGCACTTCATTCTAATTTTAAGAGAAAATGAGAAATTTTAAATCATTTTTCTTGTAAATACATTATTATAACTTTGGCCAAACTTTAATTTTAACTTTAATTTCATTTTAATTCTCTAAACTTTCTAATCCGACCGTTGTGATATAACATTTATATTTATTCCTACATTTTTAATATAGAAATTGAGACACCGAAATTAAAAATTTGACCCGCCAATTGATAGGTGGTAGTATATTAGAGGAGACATAAAGCCTAACACGGTTGCTTCTAGGATTTCGGTAAGTATTTTGAGCGCATACTTTTTGCTTTAATAGAGAAAGGGCTTGGCATTTCACTCTTTGTTGTGGGGTTGTCACGGATTGGCCAGCCATACGGGAAGTCCACCCAGTGCTGCTACCCACTTCTACTAAGGCTGAGCTTAATAGGAGCAAGAGAATTGGTGGCAACAACCAGAATCGTGGAAATGCCATGCACCTATCAGAATCGGAACAGACCCATTACCAGATCGACCTATCATCACTGGCATAACCATAAAAAAGATTATTAAAAAAGCGTGAGCTGTTATTAAAACAATATAAAGTTGATGATTTCCATCAAGAATTTGATCGCCGGTATCAAGCCACATGATTTTTGAGTCGTGTGTTATATGCCATTAAGTTAATCTGTACGTATTTTAAACGTAGATTTAGTTTATATCAGAGTTGGACTATATTTATAACGGTCGAGATAATTGATGGAACCTCGACCTTCCTATTAAAATTCAAACTTTTTATTTTTTAATACTTACTTGGCTTTTAAAATAAATTTCGTATACTTCAATTAATATCATGTATGACGTTGTGTATGTCTTTGTAATTGTAAATGTGTGTATTTTTACATTCCCAATGAGTTGGCCATTGAAAAAAGTTGATTTAGAATAAATCCAAAATAGATTTCAAGGTTCTTATCAAGTTGCAGCCCAGCGCAGGGTACTTGGACGACGTAGTCAAGTTCGGAGCACTTTTTATTTTATTTTATATTCAGACATGTGGCCATTGTGCCGTCTTCACCCATTATTTCAAGGACCCTCCAATGCCTAAAATATCTCGTTCACATGGATGTCAAAATTTGTGAATAAAAAAAAATATAAAAACTAATAATTAAGTTAATGTTTATAAAATATATGAGAAATATGGATTAAATTTTTTAAATCATAGCATATAAATAAATATTTTAATAGTTAGTGTATCTCACTGTCATATTAATAATGGTGAGTGAACACGAATTTTGAATTTATAAATAAAGAATATCATCTCAATTGAAGATTAAAAAAAAAATTATTAAAACTTATGCTCAAACGTCACGTTATATATTTAAGTAATCAATTATTGATTTAATTACTAATTTATTATTTTTATTCATCTTGCAATTACTACCTATTAGATAGGACCTCTTAAATTTAATTTATTTTTTATTAGAGTTAGTTAAAAAATAACTTAATTTTTATATCTCTGATTTTAAAAAGGCTTATTAGTTTTAAAATTTTAAAAGCTTAAAAAAGGGCTAAATTTATAATTTTAGGAATCTTTTTCAAGAAAGAAAAGAAAAGAGTAGGGACAAAAGAGTACAATTTTATAAAGTAAAACTTTAAACATCGTGTCATTATTAAGAAGATGATGAGGGCACTGTTTTGTTTGGGGGATGCCATAGTTCGAGTCTCGAGAGACTTAAAAAAAGTAAGAGAAAATGGGAACTGAGGCACGGATCTCCGGCGATGCTGTGGCGAGAGAGAAAGAGAACGGCGGCGCCCATGTCCAGTCCACGCCGGAGCTCGACGCCGGAGCTCTGTTTGTGCTTAAATCCCGAGGTTAGCGTTTGTTTGTCTGTTAGTTTCTTCTTGACGGTAGGGGTGAAGATATGAATTGTATTTTCTTTTGGATGAAATTCCACTTCCGCTCTAAAACAAAATCACTAGAGCTTAGAGTTTATTTTCAAAGAAGACAAATATCATCATTATGGAGAGTCGTGTTCGTTTAACGTGATATCAGAGTCATGCTCTAAATATTGTAAGCCTCGAAGACATAGTAAAAAAGTGACTAGAGTATCGAACAAAGAGTATATTTTGTTCAAATACTCAAAAGAAATAGTCGAGCCTTGATTTAGGAAATGATCGTGAGTTTATAATCAAAGATAAAAATAGTACTTTCATTTATGTTTTTGAAAACTATAAACAAAAATCACATGAAATTACAAACGTATACAGAAAGACACGAACAATTAGTTACCAAACGTTTCTATTTAAAAATATATATATATATAAAAGATGAGTTATGTAATAAATCATTAAATTTTTATTTATTATCGAATAAAATATTTTTATTAATAATTATAATTTGATGATATATTTTTTTTTTTGCGTTGGTGATATGGATGATAGGATCATGGTTGCATTGTGGGTATCACTTGACAACATCCATAGTGGCTCCGGCGCTACTAAGCCTTCCTTTTGCGCTGAGTGTGCTTGGTTGGGTTGGAGGAATTATAAGCCTTCTTGCTTGTGGTTTCCTCACTTTCTATTCCTACAATCTCTTATCCATCGTCTTAGAGCATCATGCTACACATGGTACTCGTCTATTCAGATTTCGGGATATGGCTACTTTTATTCTCGGTACATCCTCTCCTTTTCATTATCTTCAAAATTTCGTATATTATGAATCTAATTTCCGATAGATTCTTAAATTTTCAATCGAAGGACCGAAGTGGGGCACGTACTTCGTGGGCCCAATTCAATTTGGCGTGTGTTATGGTGCTGTTGTTTCTGGAATCGTCCTCGGTGGTCAAAACCTTAAGGTGAGATTTTTTCATTATATATTACCAAATTTCTTTTATGTATGAAATTATTTATGGATAAAAAAATGAGAATTAAGTCAATTTATTGACTTCTTAAGTGTATTTATTATTCAAATTAATTATGGGTTTGAATTATTATTAATTTTGTTTTGGCAGTATATTTATGTGGTCTCAAATCCAGAAGGGACAATGAAACTATACCAATTTATAATAATATTTGGAGCATTAATTCTGATATTGGCTCAAGTTCCATCGTTCCATTCTCTAAGGCACATCAACCTTCTCTCTCTTGTTCTCTCTCTAGCTTACAGTGCCTGTGTCACAGCTGCTTCTTTACATCTAGGTAAAGAAGGTTATATATGTAATTTCACACTAATTTTCTTCTTAGTTTGTGAAATTACCTTTAAGGACTTCCCATTCACAGGTTATTCCAAGAATACCCCTGCAAGAAACTACTCTCTTGAAGGGTCTGAAGTCAGCCAGTTATTTAATGCCTTCAATGGGATTTCAATTATTGCAACTACGTATGCGTGTGGGATTCTTCCTGAAATACAGGTATATTTTATGTTAAATTAGCTTATAAAATTATATATATATTAGCATATTTTCAGTATTTTTAAAAAAAATAAATTTTAAAGAAAATAAAATAAAATATATAAAATTTAATGGAATTTATTGGTGGAGTATTGCAGGCAACATTAGCAGCTCCAGTGAAAGGCAAGATGTTCAAAGGGCTATGCCTTTGCTATACAGTGATTGCAGTCACCTTCTTCAGCGTAGCAATTTCAGGGTATTGGGCTTTTGGAAATGAGGCTGAGGGAACCATTCTTACTAATTTCATGGGCCATAATCTGTTGCACTCTTGGTTCCTCGTCATGACCAATGCCTTCTGCCTCTTGCAAATCTCAGCTGTCACCAGCGTAAGATCCTATTTTATATCTAATACAAATTTTTAGATGTAATATTCCAAGTCTATCGCTAGCAAATATTGTCTTATTTAACTTTTCCTTTCGTGTTTGCTCTCAAGGTTTTTAAAATGTGTATGTTACGGAGAGGTTTTCACACCCTTATATAAAATTATTTGTTCATTTCAATAACCGATGTGTGATCTCACAATCTACCCCCTTCGAGACTAGCGTTCTTGTTGACACACCGACTGTCTCGTGTTTACCCCTTTTCGAGGTTTAGCCTCCTCATTGGCATATCGCTCGGTGTCTGGCTCTAATACTATTTGTAACTTCCCTAACCTACCGTTAGCAGATATTGTCCTCTTTTGAGCTTTTCCATTCGGGCACCCTTCAAGGTTTTTAAAACACGTAGGTTAGAGAGAGGTTTCCATACCCTTATAAGGAATGATTTGCTCACCTCAACCGCCAATGTGGGATCTCACAATCTACCCCCTTCGGGGTTTAACCTCTTCACTAGTATATCGCCTGGTGTCTGGCTCTAATGCTATTTGTAACCTCCCAAACCCACCGCTAGTAAATATTGTCCTCTTTGAGCTTTTCCCTTCAGACTCCTCTCAAAGTTTTTAAAACGTGTATGCTAGGGAGAGGTTTCCACCGCCTTATAAAATAATGTTTTGTTCTCCTCCTTAACTGGTGTGAGATCTCACAATGTAGTTAAGACATAGTCTTATATCTGAATTAGTTCGTATAATATTTGGTATACATACCAAGAATTTGACTATTTTGTGACCTATTATTTGATTGTTGATTTGGGTAGGTTTATTTACAACCAACGAATGAAGCATTTGAGAAGAAATTTGCAGATCCAACCAAAAGTCAATTTTCGATTCGTAACATGGCACCAAGGTTGATATCACGATCGTTATCGGTCGTCATTGCCACCATATTTGCAGCCATGGTGCCTTTCTTTGGGGATCTAATGGCACTAATTGGAGCATTGGGGTTCGTTCCTCTTGACTTCATCATGCCAATGGTTTTCTACAATGTGACTTTCAAGCCTTCAAAGGGTGGATATATTTTTTGGATAAACACTTTGATTGTGGGAGTTTCATCGGTACTGGTTGCAGTTGGCGGTGTTGCATCCATTCGACAAATCGTGTTGGATGCCAAGGCTTATCGTTTATTTGCTAACTTGTGAACCAAATGTCCGTGACTATATTAAATATTAAATCGAATAAACTTTTAATATGTTTCTCTTAGGTTCACTTAGAGGCGGGAGATGTTAACTATCTAACCCCTTAGATAGCATGTGTTAGGGCTAGTTGAGTTATATATATAATTTTAATTTTAAAATTAAAAATATTTCATAAATATACTTTCTATCTGTAATCTAATCAAATAATTATTCAATAAGTTTTATTTTTATTTTGTGTGTGTGTCACAAGTTGACTTTAATTTTGAATACTGTTATTTTTATATTATTTATTTTTAAAATTCTAAGGCTGTGTCATAAATCTAGTGAAATTGAAATTTTTTTAAATGTTGGGACTTTGATTAAAATCTTGAAACTTAGAGACTAAATATAAATATAGCCCAAAAATCTAATTTACTATATTTTATTATTTATTATTTGTATTTTATAGAAAAATTAAAAAAGAATAATTTTAAAGGTTATTTAATTATGCATTTGTATTATTAAGGGAACAAAATAGAATTCTTGTAGTAAATATTTATCATGTAAAAACTAAAGATTAAATACTCAATACTGTAAAAACTGTATAAAAAGTCCTAAAAACGGCACAAAAAATAGAAAGAAAACAGAACACACGCCCAGTGGGATTCGAACCCACAATCGCCTGATTAAAAGTCAGACGCCTTATCCATTAGGCCATGGGCGCTAAACTTCTAAAAAAAATTAAAATTTTAAGAATTTAAAAACTGTATAAAAAGTCTCAAGAACAGGACAAAAACTAGAAAGTAAGAATTACATGTATGCACACGCCCAGTGGGATTTGAACCCACAATCGCCTGATTAGAAGTCAGACGCCTTATCCATTAGGCCTTGGGCGCTTGCCTTTTAAAACTAAACATTAAACATTCAATAATGTAAAAACTATATAAAAAGTAGGACAAAAAGTAGAAAGAAAGAAATACAAGAATGCACGCCCAGTGGGATTCGAACCCACAATCGCCTGATTAGAAGTCAGACGCCTTATCCATTAGGCCATGGGCGCTTGCCTTTTAAAACTAAACATTAAACATTCAATAATGTAAAAACTATATAAAAAGTAGGACAAAAAGTAGAAAGAAAGAAATACAAGAATGCACGCCCAGTGGGATTCGAACCCACAATCGCCTGATTAGAAGTCAGACGCCTTATCCATTAGGCCATGGGCGCTTTCCTTATGAAAATAAAGATTAATATACTATAAAAACTATATAAAAAAGTCTTAAAAACCGGACAAAAAATAAAAAGAAATAAATGCTCACGAATTGCACCCCAGTAGGATTCGAACCCACAAAGTCAGACACCTTATCCATTAGGCCATGGGCGCCTGCTTGTCATGTCATAATTTTTTGAAATGATAAAGATGAAAAACAATTTCATTAATGTTATATTAATCTTTATACTTAAATAAGGTTTACACACATGTGAAATGTATGCATTAAATTTTTTTAGATGGGATGCAACTTTTCTTTTAAATATTCAAGAGAAATTTGAACTTTTGACCTCTTAATCGAAAATATTTATATTTTCCTAAATTTTTATTTTTAAATTTAGTAATTTATTTTTCAAATTTGCTATATAAAATTTTACTATCACTCCACTAAAGGGAGATTTGAACTTCAAAATTTAAGTTTTTTTTTTTACCTTTTAATTCAAATTCAAGTTTTTTACCTTTTAATCGAAATTCACCTTTGAATTGAAATTCAAACTTTTTACCTTCTAATCTAGAGCAGCTTATTTGTTAAGAAAAGGTAAATTCCTTCCCCTTGACACTTGTCCACAAAAACACATTCTTCCAAATTGGGAAAAGGATAGATTCATTCCATCCAAGAATTTTTTTTTTCCTTTTTCCCAAAGTTGTCCAAAAACATGTTATTTTTTCATATGTACTTAAATACTTAAATAGTTACTCAATAACCTGACCACCTTAAACTATTCTGCTCAAATCATAAAAGTTATGTTAGAATAAAAGTTGAGTTAGGTTAGTTTTTTTTTTTTTGATTTGGGTTGAATTTTTAAAAATCTGAACAATTTAGTTCAATTTGCAGGTTAACAATGTGGGTGAATCTAATCCATCCAAAAATTGTATTATAATCCAACCCAACTCTATCTAGATTTTTTAAAATGTTTATAAACTTATTTTTCTAAATAATTAAAAAAAAAAATCAACAACCAACTAATACAAAATTTTGAATTAATTTAAAATAGAATTAAGATTGTTAATTGATACAATTATAAATATAAATGCGTAAATGGAAGCATTTGTTCTATATTCATATAAATTATAATTCAGCTATTCTCGCTTGTATTGTAAAATTTCGATCAACCTAGACTATTAGAAGTATAGAAGAAGTAGAGAGAATGGGGTGGAATTATTAGTTTAAAATTGGAGTAATTTAAAAGAATGGTATTGGCGTTGTATGAACAGTTGGTAGCCAAGCAGCATCGTATTGGCGGTAGAAAGAAGCAACTGAAAAAAGAGAGGAAAAGAGCGTAGCAGTGAAATTTTGAAATGGCGTATTACTTTCCATCTCAAAACACAGTAACCCTCACCTTTCAAAACCCATGCGCCCAAATTTTCACAACTCCAAACCAAATTTCTTCTTCCCAGACATGGTTGACAACAGAGACATTGTTCCTACAAACCCTCAACTGACCTGGTCCTGGTCCTGGTCAAGAAATCTCAATAAATTAGGGGACAACGAACAACAAACTTCACCACTGCCACCTCGGAAACCTAACCTCGTCACTCTTCCGGGATCGGAAGTGGCTCCTCCTCCGCCGTTGACGGCTGAGTGCAAGCGCCCTGGCAAGTTTTCGCATCCGGCAATCCGGTGGCCGGTATGATTCCTTCTCCATTTTCTTGATGTCCCTAAACAACCTTAAGAATTCAAATATATTTAAATATTTTTTAATAAATAGTGTTACTAGAGAGGTTCATTTAATCCATGATACAGGTCAAGAAATATTCGTTTAAATAGAGAAAGCCTTCATCTAATTCTTTACATGAGGGTTAGTAATGGGCTGTTGGGTAGCTAATTTATTTATCCAGCTGACGTGGGCCAATCACCTGCTGCCACGTGGTAAGATATTTAATTATTATAAAAAGGAAAAAACAATTATTTTGATGTATTTCATTTCATGTCTTTTCAGTTATATGCTTTGGGAGGATTCCTTATTGCGAGGTGGGCTTTGAAAAAATGGAAATCTGGGGAGGACGAAGGCAAAAACTAATATTAAAAACCATATTTTCGGCGCCCAAGAAGTAGCCTTCGAAATGCTGTGTGAGCCAAGGAATTAGGCTTCAAATAAAATTCTTTAAATTACTATGATTATTGTAACAATTACAGTAATTAAAAATTTCGAAATTGATTACAATTATGTGGAAAACATCAGCACCTCACTCATTGTTTGAATTAAAATAATAATAATAAAAAGAACGAAAGCTTAAATAATATAAATAGATTTTGTGACCATTAATATAAATAAATTTTTGATTGTGCAGTCGATAATATTGCAATTTTTGAAAAAATAATAATATATAAAATGAAATTTAATTGTAGTCAAATGCATGACAGAGCTTCAGAAATGTAACAAATTAGCGAAACAAAATGTGTATAGAACAAGAAATTTATTCTCCATGGCCTTGGAAATACTCCCTTTTTCTAACTCATTCTAAGTAATCCATGCAAATAATAATACATCATTTCAACAAATGATCAAGAATCAAATAGTAACCTCCAACCATAAAAAATGACCCTAAACCACAACGAGCCATTCGCAATCCTATGCCACGAAACAGGAGACTCCGATCTGCAGGATGAATCCCCGTGGTTCTCTCAAATCTATTCCCCGGTCGATGCCATTTGAGAAACTTTCTCTCCATGGCGACATACTGCAACAAAAGAACCATGATCAAGCACTCATTTCTAGGCAAGTCGAGAAATGTTGAAGGGATGATGCATCGACACTATGCAATATGACAAAACGAAATATTTTGCACTAAAGAGAAAAACTATCATGTCGATGCGATATGACAAAACGAAATATTTTGCACTAAAGAGCAAAACTATCATGATAGTTTTTATCGAGGCTAAACCATAAAAGGACTACTAAACTTCGAAACTTTCATAAACATTTCAAAACTACCATTGGAGTAAAAACCTTTTATCGATAGACAAGACTATCACAACGAGTGCACTAACTGCACCGAACTCGTCCATGAATGATCTTCGTACCTTGGGCAGCACGGTGCATAGTGACCGACTATTGGCAGTATCGAAACCATGAGAGACAGCTGCAGCAACTGCACCGGAAACTCCAGCTGCAAGACTAACCGAAAACGGAGACAGTGGGCCTACTTCATCATTTGACCTGGAAGAAGAGATTGACAAGAAAAATTGTTCGTCATCTCAATCCAATGAAAGGAGACAATAAAAATTTACAATAATCTTTAATATAAATGAAGCTACCATAGCCTGACTATTATATCAACTAGTTACATCTAGATTTCAACAACCATACATAGGCTATTATTCTCAAACTGTAGTTCAAGAAACTATGGACAGCGGTCTAAATCCATAATTGTGTTCTTGATATCAAATAGAAACCATAACGGCCCTAGCCCACAGCTAGCAGATATTGTGTTCTTTGGGTTTTCCCTTTCGGGTTTCCTCTCAAGGTTTTTAAAATGCGTCTGCTAGGGAGAGGTTTCCACACCCTTATAAAGAATGTTTCGTTCTCCTCTCCAACCAATGTAGGATCTCACAATCCACCCCCTTCAAGACCCAACGTCCTTGCTGGCACTTGTTCCCTCTCCAATCGATATAGGATCTCACAGAAACTCTTTGGTTCAAAGTGAAAAATTGAAATGGAAACGAGTTAGGCACAACTTCAAGGGCGGTCTAGTATCAAAGCATGGAACCTGGGTGGTGGATCCATCTCGATGCTCTTCCAAATTAGCATAGATCGGTGCAGAAATTGCCAGGTCGAGAAAAATACGCCGCTGAAGATGGAATCCCTCGCGATCCCAGATCGTAGACCTCTCCAAAATGCCTGCCATCCTTCCAGTGATATGATATCTGATGGCCTATGCACATTGCTAACTGCAGGTGGCCTCCCGGACCCCGTCATCATCCATGGATACTCTTGTAAGGCACCTTTTATATTTTGGTGCTTAGTTGTTAGGGTGGATAAAAGACCAACTGAATGGTTTAAGGCTTTCAGATCCAGTGTATAGCCATGAAGAAACCTTGACATAGAAGGTGCAAGAGCTCTTTCTTGTCCAACGAGAGAAACTCGGCTTGGTAATCGAATAGCAGAGGTCACCTGAGCACGAAGTTTAACAAGCTCAAATGGCGAGCATATCAATGATTCTGCTGCACCAGCCATAAGTCCAGCCAGAAGAGCCTCGGACACATGCACGTAATCATCCTCACGACCATCTGCCATGTATGCACTAACGACCATCACAAAAACAAAATTTATTGATAGTAGATTCGAATTGAAATCAGCGCGACGAAAAATGAATATCACAGTTTCCCTTATTTGCAGATTTTGTTTATCAATGAAACTCATTTCGTTAAATAATAAGATTGGATATGTGATTACCTTTATAATAGGCTGTCACAATTTCATATACTCCAAATCGAGCTCCTAAACCAAATAGTCTCCCAAAGGCCAACCATCCAAATCCACTGTACAGACCTGCAATCTTCAGTCAGTGAGAAATTAAGCTCTATATAATATGATCCAAGTAACAGATTTCCGAGAAGCAGATAATTACCATGCTGAATAAAGCAACATATTGAGTTCAATAATATGACGGGGATTCGAATCTCAACCAAGATGTAACAGTCTAAACCCACCGCTAGCAGATATTGTCCGCTTTGGCCCGTTACGTATCACCGTCAGCTTCACGGCGTCTGCTAGGGAGAGGTTTCCATACCCTTATAAGGAATGTTTCGTTCCCCTCTCCAACCGATGTGGGATCTCACAATCCACCCCTCTTGGGTACCTAGCGTCCTTGCTGGCACACCATCTAGTGTCTGGCTCTGATACCATTTGTAATAGTCCAAGCCCACCGCTAGCAGATATTGTCCGCTTTGGCCCGTTACGTATCATCGTCAGCCTCACGGCGTTTGCTAGGGAGAGTTTTCCACACCCTTATAAGGAATGTTTCGTTCCCCTCTCCAACCGACGTGGGATCTCACAATCCACCCCTCTTGGGGACCTAGCGTCTTTGCTGGCACACCATCCAGTGTTTGGCTCTGATACCATTTGTAACAGTCCAAGCCCACCGCTAGCAAATATTGTCCTATTTGGACTTTCCCTTTCGGGCTTCCTTTCAAGGTTTTTAAAACGCATCTATTAGGAAGACGTTTCCACGCGTATAAAGAATGCTTCATTCCCCTCTCCAACCAATGTGGGATCTCACACAAGAGGTCGAGAGTATTATAATAATCCAAGAAAAATTAAAGAATCACCTGAATTTCCTGAAAAGGATTGAATTCTATGTAGAGCCTGAGTTGTCGTCAACTGCCTACCAGATCCTAAAGGATCAGAACCAACCTATTGTAGAGCAAAGAATTACATAAACTCATAATAGATATATTTCCGAGACAGAAAATATTCACAGCAGCAAGATATCAAACCTGGATAAGGGTTTTGATAGTGTCAAGAGGGTAAGTAAGAACTGTGCTTAGTGTCACTGAGCCAGCAGCAGCAACTGCATGGGTTGCGAAGATTTGGTTCTTCAAAAACTCATCCATTTTAAGCATGCTAGCAGATAAATGGCCTCTACTCAGCCCATTCAATTATCACTACAAGAAATGGTATCAAAATTACATATCAATTGGGCAAGAATGAAATAATGATCAAGATCGAAGACTAAAACACATAATCTAAGAACGAAAAAACCGTAAATATATTGAAATTTCCAATCATAAACGCTTTAGATAACCATTTAGTTTTTGAAAATTAAGCCTATAAATGATATTTCCATGGATTTCTTTGATTCACTATCTACTTCTTGGAGGTGTTTTTAAAATCCAAATTAGGTTTCGAAAACAAAACAAAAATCGTTTTTAAGAATCTGTTTTTGTTTCTGAAATTGACTAAGAGTTGAAATCTGATGAGAAAACAAACACAATTTTCAAATACCAAGAGCTAAAAAACCGAATGGTTATCACAATTTTCAAGTATTTGGGAGACTCATTTAAAAGTTTTTAGCTGTTGTGAGAGCAATGGGAAACTGAATATTCGTATCACTTCTTTTTCTGTTGTTTGCAAAATTTCTTCTACCTCCCACACTTCAGTATGTAAATTTACTTGAATCAACTCAAAAATTTCCAGGAATAAAGAACCCTCATTCAGTAAACAAAGATTCAACAAAAAAAAAAAAAAAAAAAAAAAAAAAAGCTTGTATTGAACAAGTTGTTAAAGCTGTTTTGGAAGCTGATTTAAGGTTAATATCCACCCAAAAAAAATGAATTGCGATGAATGATAAATATCAATTCTTTTTCATTTGCTATTTTT